CACATAGCGGGGAGGAACACCCTTTTAAATTTTAATCAATAAAAAAAAAAGAATGCGAGAGTTCCAACTCAAGTCGGAGGTAAGAGGTCAGGACTCAGGACCATCCTCCGTGAATCGACAGCTTTTTGCTCTGCTAACCTCAGCCTGCCTGCAAAATACCTCCTCCTCCACGTTTTTCTCTGCTCCCTCCCTCTCTCCCACTCTTAGCAAAAGCGCATTTTGCTAATTGTTTAGTGACGTCAACCAAACTGAAACCCAACCACAACAAACAAAACCAAAAACAAAAACAAAAACAAAACCAAAACCAAAACCAAAACCAAAAACAAAAAGATAAACTCTCAGTAAAGTATCGTAATGCGCTACGAAAGACCAATCTGAAAACGGAAGCGCGTACAGAAAGACCGAGCGCGCTACCAATCTGAAAACGGAAGCACCTACCCACATCACCAGCCGAACAAACAACCAAGAACAGGTCCCGTACCTGTTCCAAGCGTTATCCTTCACACGTATCTCCAAGCCTGGTCTGGTCTNTACCCACATCACCAGCCGAACAAACAACCAAGAACAGGTCCCGTACCTGTTCCAAGCGTTATCCTTCACACGTATCTCCAAGCCTGGTCTGGTCTGGTCTGGTCTGGTCTGGTCTGGTCTGGTCTGATCGGGTCCCCTCTGCTCTCTTCTCCAGGCCAGTTACGAATGCAATCCAATACCGGACCCGATATATGACGTTCTCACGAGTCACGGCGAATCTCGCCGCATCTTCTTAACCTGGCAGTTAGGTCCGGTTTGGTCTGGTCTGGTGTAGTCTGGCGTGCTCTGATCAATCTCCCTCTGCTCTCTTCTCCAGGCCAATTACAAATGCAATCCAACACTGGACCCAATCTGACGTTCTCACGGCGAATCTCGCTGCATCTTCTTAACCTAGTCGGGCGAATCTCGCTGCATCTTCTACACCTTGGAGACACATCTTACGGTGTATCTTGCTGCATCTTCTTAACCTGGCACCTTGGAGACAGATCGTAAGGGTGTATCTGCCCACAATTGGAGGTAGACCAGGATGTATCTGACCGCGATGACGCCCAAAGTTGAGTCAAAAAAGTTGCAAGCGCTCTGATTTGCCTGTTGAAAGCCGACCAACCGGTTGGACGAGCCGCAGCTGTTGAGACTTTGAAGACGATGTCGAAAAAACAAGACGCTGGCGCACAGTGCGGTCCCTACCCCCCTTGGCAGGCAGCATTTCATAACGAGCGCAATGTCCGGCGGAATTGTCTTTTTCCACGCAACAAACAGGACTCGTACTACAGCGATCTTCTCAACAACGTGATGGACTTCCTCCGTCATCAGGACGGACATATAACTTGTACCATGCTCACAAAACGAATGCTCCTCATAAATTGTATGTACCATGTGCACAATGTGAATGGAATGCTTCCCATAACTTGTACCATGCGCACAATACGAATGCTTCTCATAACTTGCACCATGCGCACAATGCGAATGCTTCTCCTTGTCAGAAAGTGACCTCTAGTGGACCCCCTGGACCCCTCTGGGCCTACTTCGGGCCCATTTGGAAGCTTGGAATTCCAGTGTCTGTGTCTCTGATAGGCTGCTCCTCCTTGTTGGGACACGGCGTCTAATGGGCCGCCTTGAACCCCTGTAGGGTCGTTTAGGGCCCCTTTTGGAAGCTTGAAAGCCTGTACAAATGTTTACTAAATTGCAATTAAACAGTGTTCTAATGTAATTAAAAATTATTAAATTTCATTCATTACATTGGGTGCTGGCATTCCCCAGCACTGCATTGGGGCAGTAATACCAGCCGTATACATCATCTACAATTTCTCAAATCAAAATTTTAAATTTTAAAATAAGGAAAAAAAAAAAGTGAAAAAAGTAATTCGAAAAACAATCGCTTGTATGACAGACAAACCAACTCGCGTAATCTTTAGGTCGCATGCAATCCATAGGTTCATTTTTTTTCCTATTCCGGGTATCTGAACGATGCCACTCACCAAAAGGGGAGCAAGTCTAGGGGGGCAAAATCGACCACAGTCATCAGAAAAGCTCCCCGCTGGACATGCACGACTGTTTACCAAGTCTAAAATCCGATCTACCAATCCCCGCCAGCTCTCTTCCGTCCCTCCTTCCCTCCTCCCTCCTTCCCCCCCCCCCGCCTTCTGGATTCCTTTCCCACCCCTCCGACCCATGCCCAATTTTCCTTCGTATAAGAGACTATCAACGAGCAGAAACTTTTAAAGTTTAAACTGCATTTCTAAACTGCATTTAGAAAGTGGATCAATAAATGCAACAATAACTCTGTGGTCGAGAACTCCGACCACGATCTGTGTGCAGTTGAGAACCAAGATGAATAACGCTGTGGTAGAAACTCTAAAGCACTAAAACTGTAAAACACTAGTTGATAATTCTGGTTCCCAACCCAATCTGCAACTCTGGCTTCCAACCCATAACCTGTGGTTCAGAACTCTGGTTGGTGGAGAAGCCCAACCCATAACCCTGTGGTTGAGAACCCCAACCCATAACCCTGTGGTTGGGAACCCCAACCCATAACCCTGGGGTTTGAGAACCCCAATCAATAACCCTGTGGCTGAGAGGTATGGTTGGTTGAGAACCCCAACCCATAACTCTGGTTCCCAATCAATGACCCTAGGGTTGAGACCTCTGGTTGGTTGAGAACCCCAACCCATAACCCATAACCCTGTGGTTGGGAACCCTAATCAATAACCCTGCGGTTGAGAACCCCAATCAATAACCCTGTGGCTGAGAACCCCGATCTGGTTGGTTGAGAACCCCCCAACCCATTACTCTGGTTCCCAATCAATGACCCTGAGGTTGACAACTCTGAAACGCTAACCGCAGTCGATAACTCTGGTTCCCAATATATAACTCTGCGCGAGGGTACTCCAATCGACACCCCTGCTCACTAGTTCGTAACGCTGATCGACGAGCGATGAGTTTAGTTTCTGACGATGGTTCTTAAACCATAATTCCAATCCAAAACTCCAATCAAAGATGAGTGAATTTCATAGTTGATGAACTACTGCAGACGATGAACTACTGTAGTTCATTACAACTCTGTGACTCTGACAGATATAACTCTAGTCAAATCTGGTGATTGCACTGATTGGGAAATATATGGCCATAATACCCCATAATACCCCCATATACATAACTCCGCGAATAACAACCGTGGTTTACGACGCTCAATCTCGTCCGGGGCTCTGCTGGTAAACTCTGGTCAAGAGCTAGTTTTAACTAATAACCGTCTGAAAACAATTACTCCGAATGCATCTCCGATCGTCCAAGTCGAAGCAACTTGGGCATCGTTAGATCACCACTCTCTTACAATACTTGCAACTGATTTTTTTTTTTCTTCTGCTTTCTATTTATTTTTTTCCGCCTGCAATCGATCTTCTTAACCATACCTCCTTTTTTTAATGAGCAGGGGTCATGCTAATCTTCTGCGAATCGGTCCACGTTTAAGGGATGCCCCAAAGGGACTGATCTTAACTGTTCCTCAACTGATCTTCCCCACTGCAATTCATAACTCTCCTATCATGATTTCATCGAAGAGCATCACACCATACCTGCAATTGACATTGACTACTACCTTCTGATCGTGTCTATATTTGAAGAGACTTCCACCGTAGTAGCTGCAATCGATCACTCTCCTATCATTCTCCGATCCTCAACCATGCAAGGGACTCACACCCTACCTGCGATCGATTACATTGATTGACGACTGTGAGTAATGCGTCGACTTCCGAATTTCAAATCTCAAATTTCAATTTCACAACTCTCGACCGTTAACGATGATAAAAATAGCGTCTTACCTTATCATGTCTGACTCTGGAAATTTTGGTTGGAACGAGGACTAACAACAAAGGCACTACGTCCCTCGTCATTCACGATCCTTTCAAGCATTCCTAATGCGGTCCTAATGCGGTCGTAATGCGGTTAGTGAGATCGGATCTGACCGATTGTCGTCAAATTGACGATGTCAAATCATCGACCATCGAGGAAGACTGACAAACTAATTGTAACCATTGATCTGCAGAAGACCATGTGAGAATTTACAGAGATAATACATGGAGCTGCTAAACTGCAGACTCGATATTCAAAGAGTCGATCACAAATACCAAAAGACGTCGTTGGTGCGACGGCCAGTGAGATAGATGGTCGACACACGACCACATCTGCTGATGACGATCTGAACATCAACGATCACCAGCTGTAGATGATCTACAAAGGACATTGCACACGGGAAGGCATCAGCCTATAGCCGTCGACACACGACCACAAAGGACTACGCTTCACATTATACATCTACAGAGTCAATCGTCATCCGACCATTGACTGACACATCTTCTATGTTTCTTTCTTTCTTTCTTTCAACTTTGTCTTTTTTAATAAATGTCTGGGTACTCTGATATCTTTACATGCTGCCGACGACCATTTGTCCATCCCAGGTACCAACTGCTTGATGACGGACACATACGACCTGGTAGTAGGCTGGTATATATGCTTTCGAAAAACTCAAAAGTTCATTTACAGAAGCAATTTGAAAGGCAAAGGCAATGACTGAAAAGGTGGAGACGACTCTACATCGTTCCATCGTCAACCCCAACTGCAAATCGATGATCAATAATGGAGGCATCGAAAAGAGTTTGAAGAAGCCCTGTAGTTAATTGGTGCTACCAGATATTTCTGTTCGTCCATCCCACGCCGTGAAAAAATGTGCTCAACTGAGGAGAAGCAGGAAAGTGAACGTTACACTTCCTTTCAACTCGGCAAAGACGATCATCGATCGCCAATCAGGCCTATTTCTCTTCCACCGGAGTGGTTAGTGTGACCAGTCGATCACCTTGCATCTTGCATGTTCGCAGGTCAGTGGATGCAGGCCACGTTCGATCATTTGCAAAATGTGCTCGACAGAGGGGAAGCAACAAAGCGAACATGACACCGCTTTCAACTCAGCGAAAAAGACGATCAGACAGATTTTATTACCGTCAGAGAGATTAGTGAGGCTGGTCGACCACCGTGCATGTTTGCAGGGTGAGTGAATGTAGACGTGCATGATGACCACACAGTCAGTCCGAGCTTTCACCTCCAGGGGATCCACGAAGTATCGTGATCTCACCGTCTTTCTCGATCAACTCCTCCTCGAGCTGCTGAGTTTGACGTCGAAGCTCGTCAATGACATCTTTCGCTTGCTCCAATTCCTTCTTCCTCTCCTCAAGCTCTCCCTCTACTGCCTCCTTTTCTGCCCTCAGCTTGGCAACATCGGCTCTAACACGTGAAAGCTCCGACGTCAGGGCGACTACCTTCTCCTGGATCTCGCGGAGGCGAGCCTCTTTGCGCGCAAAGGCTTGACTTGCCTCCGCGTCTCGGAATTGTGTCTGCGCAACCATCGCCTTGAGCTGTGTGGCCTCCCTCGAAATCACATCCTTTGCCTGTGACATGTTGATAAGCTCAATCTGCAGCCGTTGGATGTCCCCGTCCTTGGCTCTCATCCGCATCTCGAGGGAAGCCATCTTCTCCGCCAGCAACTGGCTCTCTGCAACATTCATGCGGTCTTCTTCCAATCTTTGCCTTGCCTGCAAAAAATTACAACGAGATGAGAGATGCCACAATCACTGAGTTCAAGGCATTACTTGCCGACTTCGAGAAGCGTGTCTTTTTTTCTTTTTTTTTTTAATAAGAGAATTACGTATTATGTCGTTCAGCCACGGCATAATCAAGTTTTTTTTCCTTGTTCATTCTGACTTCAATCTACCGGGAAGGCCTCAAAGGGGCAAGCCTCAACACGCTCGGTGTGACCAAGTGCTTTATCTGGATGCACATTTCGACAATGCTACCCTTGGTTGATTTCCCTATGCTATTAAAAACTGTAGAGGGCCCGACGTGACGCTTCCCAGCGGGCCCAAGGAAATTCAATGCCGCGCGAAACATCGGGTCCCAAGGAAATTCGGTGCCGTGCGAAACGTTGGGCCCACGCCGCGCGCTGGTCTTCTCGCTGTAAATCGGAGTGGCGCGTCGCATCGGGCCCAGGCGGACTCGCTGCCGCGCGCCGGGCTGAAAACGGAAGCGCGTACGGAAAACGGACAAAAGCGCAGTGCGTCGCGTCGGGCCCAGGCGGACTCGCTGCCGCGCGCCTCGCACTTGGAAGGGAGCAGACAAACGCAGTCGTTTCTTTTTTTTTTAATCCCCGCCTTTTGGGTGGTTTTTCGCATGCTACTATTCGGGCGCCATCGGAGAGTGGGAGGAGGAGGTCGTGCGAGGGGGAGGAGGAGGTTGTGCAAGCGGGAGGAGGAGGTCCGAAGAGGGGAAGGACGACATTGCACAAGGGGGAGGGGGTAGGAAGAGAGATTGGAGGAGGTGGCATGAGGGGGAGGAGGAGGTCGCACAAGGAGGAGGTCATGCGAGGGGAAGTGGACGTCGCGCAAGGGGGAGGAGGTCGGAATAGAGGTGGGAGGAGGTCGTGCGAGGTGGATGAGGAGGGGGAAGAGGACGCGTGAGGGGGAGGAGGAGGTCGCATAAGGATTAGGAGGTCGCGCGAAGAGAGGGAGGAAGTCGCACGAGGGGGAGGAGGGGGTCGCTCGAGGGGTAGGAGGAGGTCGCGCAAGGGGGAGGAGGAGGACGCACGGAGGTTGCGTTAGCGGGAGGAGGAGATCGGAAGACGGAGTGGCAGGGGGAGGAGCAGTTCGCACGAGGACAAGCAAGAGGTTGCACAAGGGGGAAGAGGAGGTGACACAAGGGAGAGGAGGAGGTCGGAAGAGCGGGAGGAGCAGGTCGCACGAGGAGGACGAGAGGTTGCAGGGGAGGTCGGAATGGAGGTTGGAGGAGGTCGCGCAAGTGGTTTGAGGAGGCCGGACGAGGACACATGAGCAGGAGGAGGAGGTGGTGTAAGGAGGAGGAGGAGCTGGATGAGGTCGGAAGAGAGGTGTGAGAAGGTCGCGCAAGGGGGAGGAGGACGCCGTGCAAGGGGGAGGAGTGAGTCGTGGGAGGGGTAGGAGCAGGTCGCATGCTGGGGACGAGAGGTTGCAGGAGGTCATGTGGCAGGGGAAGGAGGAGGTCGTGCCTGGGGGAGGATTTCGTGCGAGCGGGAGGGGGTCATGAGGGAGGCGAGGACGTCCCGATAGGGGGAGGAGGTTGCACAAGGGGGCGCGCGTGCACACACAAGAGAGAGAGAGAGAGAGAGAGAGAGAGAGAGAGAGAGAGAGAGAGAGAGAGAGAGAGAGAGAGAGAGAGAGAGA